GGCCAAAAACTGCAAAAAAAAAAAAAAAAGAGGGAAGGAAGGCAGGGAAGGAGGGAGGGAGAGAAAAGGCTTTGCTGCTATTTCTCTCCGTGACAACTGGCCTTGGCTCTGAATTTAAAGACGGTAAAAAGTTTACTTTGAGGAAACTGGCTGGTTCCCCTGTGCAAGGGAACAATTTAAACATGACCCAAATCGTTCCTGGTTATCTGTGTGGGGCAGTGGCCACGCACTGGGCACAGCCGATTTCAAGTCAGCATTGGTTTCATCTGAGACTTCAGGGCACTGTGCTGGGAGACCCAACCCTCCCTTCACCCCTCCAACTTCTGATACAGACGGTTGGTTGCTCATTCTGCAAGTCTCCTTTCTGTTGCCTTGAAGTCCCAGGTCTTCACGTTCTCCTCTCTCTTGGTTGCCTTTCACCGTGTCTGTGGACGCCCCGCCCTGTTAGAGCAGTTTGGTGAAGCCCCACCCTTTCCTTCTGTGGGTCCACAGGCCAGTGGGGGTAGGATCTTTTTTTAAAAAAAAAATAGACTATGTTTAATAGACTTTTTCAGCAGTTAAGTTTCACAGAAAAAATTGAGTGGAAGTTGCTGAGATTTCCTTGTGGCCCGCTGTCCCCACACATGACAGCGTCCCCCTTTACCAACACCCCCACCAGACGGGACTTGGGTTACAATCTAGGAACCTTGTGGACACTCCATCATGGCCTAGAGTCCATTGTGTACACTGGGGGTCATTTTTGGTGGGGTGGGATTTTTGAACTGCCATGTTCAAAACTACTGTGGCAGGGGGCACTTCTGGGATGGAAAAAACATAAAAGCAAACCTGCCAGGAGACAGGCAGAGTCGCCTTCGGAGGTGGAGGGGACGCAGCTTGGCTGAGAGATGAGGCTGGCATGGAGCTGGGCGTCCAGCACGGGCTGGACTGCTCAGGTAAGAAGCCCAGGTGTGCTGGAGGAGGAAATGGGAAGCCTGAAAGACACACCAGGAGGAATGCAGGTGGGTTCAGGTGGACGGAGGGCAGGACACAGGAGGAGCTGAGAAGGGAGGAGGAGGAGAAGAGGCAGGATGACATACCCTGGGCCTGAGTGATGGCAGCAAGAGCAAGGCATCCTCCTTTTGCCAAAGTGCATTCTCCAGCAACAGGCCAGCTCCAGGTGGTGGACATCACCACATAACCACAAGCAGACAGAGTTGACTGGGGAATGCCTGAAGGTGGCAGGGAATGTTCTAGCTTCTCAGGAACCAACCTTTCTTCTTAATAGAACTTCCCAGGGTTTTTTCTCTTTTTAGCACTTCTGGAGCTGTCTGGTGTTTGTGAGTGTGATGCAGGGAGGAGCCAGGCAGCAGAAGGCAGAATCTGCGGCCACACGGTCAGCCCAGGCCTGTGAAGCATGGGACCCGGAAATGCTGGAGTCCTAGCAGCACCTGGGGAGCAGTTTGACTCATTGGACCTCATCTCTCCACATCTGCCTCCTCTCATCAATCTACACGATCGCTACGCACCATCTCTGCAGGCCCCAACCAGCCTATGCCAGCCTCTCACCCACTCTGGTAGAGGAATCACTTCCCTGCACTTTACAGAAGAGGAGGCTGAAGCTCAGAGAGGTGGTTTGAGTTACCCAGAGTCACACAGCTTGAAGATCCGCAGCCAAACTCTTCACATCGTCAAACTTCTTTCGCCACATTCTGGCCAGGTTCTAAAGAAGTGGTGAGAATTCCTCAGGAGGTGTCTGCCACCAGCTTTAAAATCCTCAGGCAAACTTGCACACGGATGTTTATAAAAGTTTTATTCATAATTGCCTTAGGGGTAACCAAGATGGCCTTCAGGAGATGAGAGGACAAATCGTGGTCCATCCAGACAAGGCAGAAAAGAAATGAGCGGTCAAGCCATGAAAAGATAGGAAGGAAGCTTGCTGTGCATGTTACTAAGTGCAAGAAGCCAGTCTGGAAAGGCAACAGACAGTATGATTCCAAGTATATGACATTCTAGAAAGGGCAAAACTATGGAGGAAGTAAAAGGATCAGCAGAGGTGCCTGGAGGAGGGAGGGAGCACAGAGGGTTTGTAGGGCAGAGAAGTACTCTGGGTTACACTTCAGTGCCAGTCAACATTGTCAAAACCTGCCTAAAGTCTATCAGAAAGATGAAACCTGAAGGTCAGCTGTGGACTTTGCGTGATACAGTGTAGGAGGGAAGTTCACTGATGGTAACACATGCACCATTCTGCTGGGGGGTGAGGCCGATGGGAGACTGGCGGCCCTGGGAACTCTCTGTGCTTTCTGCTCCTTTTGCTGTGAACCAAAACTATTCTAAACGATAAGGTTTATTTTAAAAAGAAACCTTCAAGAGATTCAAATTTACCTATGAGGAGGCAGATGTTGAGAGGCGAGGTCCAATGAGAGTCAAGCCACTCCCCAGATGCCGGTGGGACTCCACCCTGGGGACCCCACAGCCTTCTGATTTCAAGATTATTCTTTTTTAAGCACCGGAGAAGCTTAAAAATCTTTATCTTTCGTTGTTGTACCTCTTTTAATAAAAAAAAAAATTGGTCCTTGGGCAGTGCCTGTGGCTCAAAGGAGTAGGGCACTGGCCCCATAGGCCGGAGCTGGCGGGTTCAAACCCAGCCCCGGCCAAAAAAAACTACAAAAAAAAAAAAATGTTTCTTAAAATTTGGATTCAGTCAAAAGGCCACTCAAGGATCCAGAAGGCCACATGTGGCCCAAAGGCTGCAGGTGCCTCACTCCTAAATTTACCTTCCTGTTATAACAGTCTGTCAATTTCTTTTAAGGGATCTCTTTTATTACCATTTATTATTTTAAATCCCAGGCTTTTCAGAGCACTTCAAATTGAAAACATGATGTGAAGGAGCCGAAGGGCATGTCCTTTCTCACACCATGTCTCTAAAATTCCCACTGTCAGATTGTCCCTGCCATCTCCTTACCATCTGGCCTGTCCACCTGAGGGACGTGGGATCTGTCTTGAACACAGCTGGCTAACTGAATCCTACAGACATTTCTGCTGCTGGGAAAGTCTACTTAATAAAACCTCCTTCTCGTATCTATTGTGTTTCCTGAAATCGAGAAAGGATTTTATAACCTACACTCCCTTTGTGAGCCTGGTGAAAGACAGGGCCACCTTCATCCTTAATGCCGCTGATACAGTAGGCCCCACCTAGGAATGGCCAGTTGGGATGAGGGGCCCCAAGATTCACAGTTAATCATGTGGGGGTTACCCCAAGATTTGCAGGTATGCACGTGGGGGCTACAACATGCCTCTGCTCCTTCAGGGAGGCTTTTTTTGAGTCTGTCTCCTTCTCTGTAGAACACCTTTGGTGATAGCCTCTAAGGGCTGCTGTGAAAATTATATTTCAATATGACTTCTAAGGCGCTAAGCTCAAACACCCAAACCTCATTTTCTGCAAAGTAGGCATTAAATGCTTTTCTCTATTTCACAAGTTTGTCGTGAGGATTTAATGACGAATTGGACATACAATCTGTAATTTTTAAAGGTAGCAACCAGTTTCTGCGTACTTACCATGTGCTCATAAGGGAGTGGTTTCTAGTGGACTGGTCCCCCCATTTGTATGTGCGTTGGGGGGAGATGTCATATCTTAATGAATGATCAACCAAACTGTCCGTCCTCATTTCTTTCCCGCCAGACTGGAGCCTGGGAGGGCACAGACTTGGTTGTCTGTGTAGCTAGGTCTCCCGGAGGCGTTGCTGGCTCTTAGACCGAGTGCTGTAAAAGAGCAGATGCAGCCTGCCTCGGTCCTTCAAGGTAAGAATCTCAAGGGTGCTTCTGGAAGGGTGGCCTCCGACCCGCACAGGAGTCACGCAGGGCCTGGGCTGGCTGACACTCCATCTGCCTGACACTAAAGAAGCGCTGGGCTGAGTGCGCGCACCCAAGTGTCCGCAGTCTCGGGGAAGCGCGTTCTGCAAGAGCAATCAGGACACTTCCTGGAGGAGGCGGGATATATCTGAATCGCAATGGGATCTGAGGGGCCAAGAACTTGTTCACTTCAGTAACCCCGCGGCTTGGCAAAACGCCTGGGAGAACTTGATCAACGTACAGACTAAAGACGGGAGAGAGAAGCCAGCTACCGCTAGCTGGGTACCCTGCAATTGGCCCGCCATACCGCACGCGCATGCGTACCCCCGACCGATCGAGAGACATCCGGCCCCGCCAGTGCGCAAGCGCTGGGTCGTGACGTCAATGTGCGCCAGACTCCGCCCCGGAAGGCGTCGCGCAGTGACGGCATCGCTATGGAGCCAAGGGCGGGTGAGGGGCGCGATTGGGCTGGCGAGGCTGGCGCGGGGCGGGTCCTGGGACCAGCGAGGGGTTTGGAGGGATCTGTGCGGGGTTCAGGGTCGAGCGGGCGGCAGGTTCGGACTCAGATTCCCAGTAAAGACATAAGGAGAATACCGTTAATAAGGAGGAAGAAGCAGGAGGGCCATCTGCTGTGCACGTGGTGGATCCGGTGGGCTCCTAGAGATCGGGCGAAACGGAGGCTCCTGCTGGTGGCAGGGGCAGGAATGGAAGGGCAGTTTAACCTATACGCGAGGGGTGCATAGTCCCTGTCGCCTCAGCAGATGCTGTTGTAGATCGCCGTCCGAAGCCCTGCTGTGTGCACTAAGGAGCCTCTGGCCTGCAGGAGAACACCCTCTAGTGGAAAAGAACGAGCCTGGATAATGTGTGATTGCGGAATTGCCTGGCAAAGATGGGCCCAATACTACTAATGCTAGGGGTGCACGGTCTGTTAAATCTGGGCACCACAACTGCGAGCGAACGGATCTCCCACCCTCACTACATGCGCAGCGTGTGAACAGGAACCAGGTGACGATAGCGCAGTGGAGCAGTAATAGTAAACAGTGAGCCTTGAAGATGCCTGCCTGGGCTAGGACTGAGCTGGAGCTGGAGATAGAAGCGTGAGTGAGATGCAAGCTGACCTGATAGGCCCCACTGGAGGAGCAGCAGACAATTACAGAACAGAATTGAGGCATTGTACACGTGAATATGTGTCTCTCTTTATTACTCTAATCATTTCCCATGTGTTTATAACCTTCCATGGGCAAGGACCTGCCTTTTTATTTCTCACACCCCCCTACCCTGCCTCACCAGTTAGCCCATTGGTTTATAAATGGGAGTCACTTACTGTGATTCTTCAGGTCAGGGACCACAATCTCTACATTTCTTGTGACCCACCCAGTATCTTGCACAATGTTGGGGGATATTCTAGGTCCTTTGAGTTGTTAGTGAAAATGAAACATGTAAAACATAATGATAATTGTACCAATGTAATTGATTTATTTGAAAAAAAAAAAGAGGTATTCTGGGTCCCTAAAGATAGGGCACCTGCCTGAGACTGAGCACTCAGGAAGTGCTTCCTAGGGGAGGTGGCATCTAAGCCAGACCTGAAGGGAGAGGGAGGGAAGCAGGTGTGTTGGGGCCAGGGAACAACAGTGCATGAGTCACTTTGGGGATCTGAAGTCAAGAGTGATGGGAGATGAGGCTAAGATGGCCAGCTGGGCCTTTGCACACAGGCCCTTGGCCAGCACACAGAGTGACAGGAGGGATCAGCAGAGGGTCAGCAGCGTGGAGGGAAGCTCCCAACTCATCCTGAGGACAGACTTCATGGAGCTGAAGCCAGGCCTTGGAGAGCAAGAGTTTGCCATAGAAACAGGAACTGAAACTTTGTCGTCACGATGACCAGTGTGTGCCAGGCTCCCAGACGGAAGGAAGAAGCCAAGTGCTAGAAACCGTGAGGCTTAGTCTTGGTATCTCTGAGGTGTGGCCCTACCCAGGCTGACAGCAGTGGAATCTCAGCCTTCATCTTTAGAGATATACACTTTCTAAGCTCCCCTGAATCTGCACTTTTAACGTCTCAAGTGGTTCAAGAAGCACCAGAAGTGTCCTGAATGGGCTTTGGGAGGCTCTAGGGCCTGGCTGTGAGGGGCCTTGGATGCAGGAGTCAGGGCAGCCCTTATGCCCTTAGAACTGAATGTGGAGTTTACAACATTGATACACAGTGGGAGGGGAAATGTATATCAATAGCTAAAGGTTGGAATCCAGCTGGCTGCCCACCACTGTGTGCAGAATCTCAGGTTCATAATCTGGGTGCATCTACTCATGGTGAACGTGGTTTGGGTTCTCTGACAAGAACTGAGCTTCTCCCTTCTAGCTGCAGGGTTGCCCATCCTCTAAGCATCTCCCCTATCCCTGTGGAGACTTTCAATGTCCTGGGTTAAACAGTGCCCCCTTTCTTTTCACTGAAGTTGCTTTTGGACACTGCATCTGTCACCAATACTGAGTATACCACTGAGTGGGATTTCCACACATGAAATCCTTGGTTAATAATTCACAGTGCTGGCCACATACTGTGATGTTAGAAAAGTATGTCACATGGTAGACAGAGCGATTTGAAATAAGCTTCTATACCAGTACAGGAATATCCCCAGACCAACAAAACCAAAACTTCAGTAAATATTTTAAAATACATCCCTCTGGATGTGCTGGTTTTATGTTTCTCCTACTTAATGGGAAACTAATTTTTATGTTTCTCCCAATAGAACGCATCGTTAACGTAGGCTTTGTGCTGCCCCCATCAAATAAGCAAAGTGTATTTGTTGCCTAATGATGCATTTAGAAACTTGAATAGAGAATTAAAGATTCTACCTACTAAAGGGAATTATAGTTGGGAATCCAAAATGCTGACTGGCTTACAGGTCACTTAGTTTTAAGACAAGCTTATTTCACTTACAGCAAGATTCAACTAATCATAGATCAGAGTTAGATTAAGACTGAGTAGACAGGTTATAGTTTCACCCTGCTCAACAGAACTGTCGTGTCCAGGTGAGGGCTCTAGAAATGCTCGGTTACATAGCGTGGTTTGCATTTCCTCCTGCTGCTGTAAGGCCAATAGAACTGGGTAAACATTTGGGTTATTTAATTTACTGCTTTGGGACTGGAATAGTTTCCCATGGGGTAAAACAGCATTAACCCTGATTTTGTGGTGTAGAGATGAGCACGGTATTCCATGCTGTGGTCTGGCCTGGTCACAGACACTGGCATAGAGGGTGGAGGGCGTGTGGTGTGGTTGGAGACTGCATGCACTGTGGAATTCCTTCTTATCGTATTAATATGTCACAACCCTTTGTCTCGATAGGTGTCTCTAAACAGGACATTCGTGAGCAAATTTGGGACCACATGGAATCTCAAAATTTAGCTGACTTTCCCCGACCTGTCCATCACAGGATTCCCAATTTTAAGGTACTAAGGCACCCCTGGAGTTTACTTCAAAGGAAAACAGGATATCCCTAAATGAACAACTTTAGTTCATTTGGTCCCCATCCTGTTTCACAGCGGATTACAATTCTGTGAACAGTGAGGAGTGGTGTGTGATCAAAACCTGGCCAGGGCATCCTTAGCCATTAGAGACATCCCTTGCTGAGTAACTCACCCTTCATTCTGACCTCCTGCTTCTTGGTGCTGAGCGAGTAGCTCATGTCCTCCCAGGGAAGTAGTGCTAAGGCCACCGTTTTCTGTTTGATACAAACTCAATATTTATCCCTGCTGGAAGCATGCCTTTCCCCATGTTGGCCGTCCCGGAGTCCAGTGTGGAGTGATCGTGCTCTGAGAGGGAAGCCCCACTGTGGCGCCTCCAGAAGGGAATGAGCACCTGCTGGTCTCTGCACGCTCTGGGCCTCAGTTGCCCAGCTGCTCAAAGGCGAGATGAGCAAGGATGCCTGTTTATAAGACTCTTGACAGAGAAGGGCTTGCCTGGAGGGGACAGTGTCACGGTGTATAATCTTCAGCGTGCGGGTTTTCCAAGAGAAAGAGAAGAAAGCCCTTTTCCAAATGTACCTTTGGCCACTTGTTGCCCATCCTCAGGCTTGACTGGGCTTTCCCTGCACGGTAAACCGCAGCCCGTCTCTGCTCCTCCACTGAGCCAGTCCCAAGCTTGTCCTGTCCCTTTGAAAAGCTCTCCTTTAAGGAGAGGAGCGAGAAATATAGGTGGAAGGATGAGGGACGTGCAGAATTGTGGAGGGTGGGCAGGGCTCCTCGGCTGTGCTATTTCTTGATTTCAGTGCTGTGCTCGCTTTGTGGAAATTCATCAGACTTTGTATTCAACACTTCGTTCTTTTTGGAATATAGGTTTTGTTTCAGCAAACACTAAACTGGGGCTTGGCTACTTTTTTTTCAATTCCCTTTCTACCCCGACAACGTTCTTAGGTGTTTCTGTGGGTGACTCTCAGTTCCCATCTTAGAATTTGTGCCCCTTTCCTGTCGGGGTGAGATTCTGAGCCAAGCTGCTTGACGGCATTCAGCCCGAGAGCCTCTTGCCCTGTCTATAACCCGTGATTGCGTTTAAAACAGGGTGCCCCTCGTGCTGCCGAGCACCTCCTGCGCTTGCAGGCCTTCCAAATGGCCAGAACTATTAAAGTAAATCCTGATGCTCCCCAGAAAAACGCCCGCTTCTTCGTCCTTGAAGTAAGTGCACCTCTGTCCGTTTGCCTAACTAGGGGTCTTATCTGGCTTGCCAAAACATCAAAGACCTAGAAGTTTTTGCCAGAGCGCAGGAAGTTAAAGTGGACCCTGATAAGCCGCTGGAAGGCGTTCGATTGCTGGCCCTGCAGGTAATTCTGCTTCCCTGAGCCCAGACCTGGCCGCAAGGGGAAACTTCTCCAGGTGGCTGGTCAAGGTGTGCCATCCTTCATTCAGAAAGTCGGTGCTTCTGACCCCTCCAACACAGGATGTGACCTTGTGGTTTTTTTCTAAGAACAGTCCAAGTTGTTTGGCATTCAGTTAGAAGTCCCAAATGTTTCCCTGTTTATGGATAGAGGACGGTTAGGCACCAGCACGGGGAGAGGAACCCAGGCAGAACCTGTGGTGTTCTGGGGTTGAGCAGTGGGAGCCAAAACAGGAGATGTCCCATGTCGCCAGCTGAAGCAAGTGTGCTGAAGAGTGCAGCTGTCCTCTGGCACTCACAGGCTTCTCAGTGGTTTGGGGAAACCTCAGGGGGTTTAAGAATCCCTGGGAAGCAGGTAAAATAACCATTGTTCCTCTGCCCAGACCGGGCTGCATTATGGATTTTTACCTGTAATAATTCTGAATAGAAAGTAATAAAGTACAATCAGCAAGATTCACCCACCTCTTCATCGCGAGGGGATGCAAGTAGTTTTAAGTAAATTTCACCCACATACATTTTCAATTAAGTTTGCAAACAAATAATTTCCTGGGCACATACCAAGAAAATGCAGAAGGCAGCAACTTGCTTCCCTTCCCGAAATGGTAAAAACGTATATAAGGAAGTCCTGGGTAAAAACTGAATCATGTAACTTATTGATTATCTTTTGTCTAATAGAGTAGAAAAACGTTGTTGGTTCCAACGCCACGACTGAGAACGGGGCTGTTTAATAAGATCACACCACCCCCCGGGGCAACTAAAGACACCTTGAGAAAATGTGCCACCTCTCAGGTGCGTGTCATTCACCGAGGAAAGATCTCTGCTGAAACGTCTCATGCGTTAGAATAGCGTACAGTAACATCGTGGAGTTACGTCAGCACAGCCAGATGAGCAGAGAGACATTACTAAAGTGTTTGGCAACTTTGTTCTTAAGAGAGAAAGAAAAGCTGTGAGCCCATAGTCTGTTCCTGAGTGCAAACCACAGGCCCCCTGTAGTCAGTGGGTACCAGCCCCATGGCCACTGCGAGATTGAGAACACAGGCGTTCCCGTGGGCAGGCATGGGCCAACAACTGTGCTGTGACTCCTGGGAGACCCCAGGTAACCTTGTGCACTGACCTGTGTGGGCTCGTCCTGTCCCTGTGCTGGCAGGAGGCCCAGTAGCACATGGGATGATCGGCTGCTGTGGATATGGGGCGAAGCAACTTTTTCCCTGGATTTACTCGTAAATCGTTTATAAGAATCACAGAGCCATGCACCTGCTCGGCCTGCCTGTCCTAAACCCAGGCCTCCAGTAGGTAGCATAGGTGGATATTCTTTTGGTGCATTTTAGTTAAATAAGTAACTTTTTGGAAGTGATGTGTTGTAGATGAAGATAAAGGCCTCCAGTGTTTTATATTGAATAAATCTGTGCCAGCATTTACTGACCACATCGTATGTGCTGAATGCACAACTTCTGTCACTTCACTTGGTCACCACACCGTTCTAGTGAGGCAAGGGTGGTGCCCCTGCCTTGCAGGTGAAGCAACTGAGGCTCAGAGAGCTTCGACCTGCCCAGCCCCCTGCAGCCAAGAGGGTCTGAACCCAGGTCCCTGCAGCTCCCCTGCCTGGGTTTTAACTGCTCTGCTGTCTGTCTGCCTAATGGGAGAAAACAATGTGCTAAATATTATAAACCCATTGGCCTGGGAATTTGTGCTCTCAGTTCCCCTGGCCACGTCCCCAGGAAGGAAATCCTGGGTGACACAGTCTAAAGTGGTTTCTGGAGCTCTGGTTCTCCCGAAACACCAGGTCCGCCGTGCTGTGTGTGCCTGTGTTGGTTTGGTCCAGGAGGTTGATTCAGACCCCGAACGCTCTGGTCGTGAATTGAGAAGTGAAGAAGCAGTTGCAGGTTCTCCATCGAGTCCCTCTCTCTGTCTGTAGGGTGTGAGGAGCTACAGCGTTCCCATGGGTTTGGACTCCACGGCCCTCGTGGATCTGGTGGTGGTGGGATCTGTTGCTGTTTCTGAGAAAGGTAAGATCAGAACAGGAACTCTGAGCCGGGGCAACCACTCCTGAAGGGCCGTCCCTCCTGCTGGGCAGGCTGTCATCTGCCTTTTGAACCTTGGTTGTCATTTCTGCTTCCCAGACACGTGCCTCATTTCCAAAGCCCCTGCATTTCTCAGAAGGTACCTGTGCAAACTTCAACTCCTCCCACCCCCTCCAGGCCCCAGCTCAGCATCTTTACAGGAAAAATCGAGTGATACAACTCTCTCCGGCAGTGACAGATTTTCTCTCTGTTCTTAACTGGAAATGGAGCTGAATATATTTGTGGCATGTCAGTAACAGCTGGTGTTGGAGAGGCTTGGTGGGGAGGCACATCAAGTCACATCAAGTTCTAAACTTTGTTCTCATTATGCAGCCGCAGCCTCCTGACCAACATGCTGTGTCCCCGAGATGTAGCAGGTGATGCAGACTGCTCTCTGGAGACACAGCCAGGGGGCCCTTGAGAGCGGGCATCCCCTGCTAGCCCTCCTGTCCCACCTGCTGCCTGCCCTCGTTCCCAGGCATCCCTGAGCTGGCATGTGGGGGTGTCTTTCTTTATTCTTGGCTTTGTGTACCCCAGTTGCAGTGCTGCTTCTGTGCCGTCAGGGACTGGCATTGACAAGTCCATGTTCCCTGTGTGCTGTAGCTGGGGGCATGTGCAGGAGCTGGACAGTGCTAGGATGTGCTCAGAGCTGCAGACGAGTCAGGACCAGCAGAAGTGGGGGTCAGAGGAAGGACCCCTCAGCCCCCAGTCTGGGGTAGGGTGTTACTTCACAGGTGGCCTCGGGGCCAGCCCCTGTACCCCAGACACAGTGGAGATAGACGGCTTGTAAGGGCTCTCGGGCAGAAGGAGCAGTGTGTCCACTTAGCCTGGCCCTCAGGCCAGGTGACAGGGTTTGGCCTGGTCTCTTGGCTATGCGATGTTAGCAGAGGTCTTCTCTTGAAAAGGATCATTGGGAGTTTCCTTTTTAGTTCAAAGAGATACACAGAAGAAAGCAGGTTTTTTGAAATGTCCCACTCAGTAGCCCCTGTGCAAACAGTGAAGTCACCATCCGCCGTGTGTCTGTGTAGAGAACTGGCTGGCACTGAAGGCCCACTGTGGGCTTCCCCAGCCCTGTCCCCAGACGCCAGCTTAGCAGTTCCAGCATGGACATATGGTGCTAGAACACGTGTGGCACACAGTGTCGCTGTGTTGTAGGCAGGGATTTTATACACATGCTCTCCCGACAGTCACAGAGGGGAGGGCAGCACACAGCTGCTTAGCTCATGCTAAGAGCTACCCGGTGTCCCTGGAGACTGTGCCACAGCGACTCACCCACTCACCCAGCCCTCAGGATGGACGCATACACCACTAGTTATTTCAAGAGTTCGGTTTGGTCTCTTCCCTGACAGATGATGCTAGAGTGATGTGTTCTCTGTCAGGTGTCCAGGGGCCTCTGAGGCTGCCCAGAGGAAAATTCTAGGAGGGAGTTGAGTACAGAAGGATGGATTTCAGACCTGGAGGGATGGTGCCAGACTACGCAGCAGAGGCTGCTTACGTGTGGTCCCCAGCAGCCTGTGCCCCGCCTTGGTCCTGACCCCCGTCCCTGGCTGCAATTGCCGCCCTTGGAGGAGTGGCAGTCAGAGTGATAGCAGTGTCTCGCTTCCCTGCGGCTGGCTGCATTTAAGAGGGAAATGAGCATTCCTGGTGTGCTCACTAGGATCTGCTGTCTCATTCTGTGACCTGTTTGTGTCCTTTGCTATCTCTGTCCCGTCTTTGCGTGCACAGTTGGAGGTTCTTAATTGTCAAAGTTGCACGGCCATCTGAGTCTCAGGAGAACATATTAGCCGTCAGGCGGGCACTGCTGGGAATGGTACTGCGGGTGGCCCATGGAAGGCAAAGTTTCTGAGCAGCCCCCACAGCTGTGGCCCAGCAGCCCCTTTACCCTGCTGAGAGGACTATGGGGGTTCCTGCTGGGATCTGGGGTGCTGCTTGGTCTCAGCTTCTCCTGGGGTTCAGGTGACCCTTTGGCTTCCATCCAGGAGTTTGCACAGTGGCATGAGTCCTGCCCACACTGTCACCCCGAGAGCTATGGGACAGACTGGGTAACTAGTCAGTGCTTTTAAGTGGCAGGGCTGTGTCCTCCTGTGTCCTCAGTGAGAGCTTTTGTTTCCCTCTAAGGTAAATAGATTAAAAATACTTTGCTTTTAGGTCTTTTTAAAAACTGCTCTTTTATTACTTTTGAGTGTGAGTTAGCTGACATAAAGCTGCACAAATGCGACTTCAGTTCCCCTTTGTGACATGTTTAAAAGATTCAGTGTTCACATCATTGCGTTTTAATTTCTGTACATTTTCAGAGCTGTTATTCCCACTTAACAGCTGAAAGTGCATTTGAGGTGCTTGGGGGTGCTGCAGACAAGCCAGGGATTTGGGGTTCCACTGTGACCTCATGGCAGGAGATGCCCCAAACCCACAGGGTCTTCATTCTCGATGTTGTCTCTTAGGCTGGAGAATCGGGAAGGGAGAAGGTTATGCTGATCTCGAATATGCCATGATGGTGTCCATGGGAGCTGTCCGCAAGGAGACGCCAGTGGTCACCATCGTCCACGACTGCCAGGTGCTTCCTGTGAACGGGCTGAGCACTGCCAGGCTCCTCTGAGACCACGAGGGGAGAGACTTGTCTGTCTGGGCACCGTGCGGTACCCTGAGTCATGTTGACAGGCGAGGGCTGGGCTTGCTAGTGATGCAGCAGCCAAGTCTCAGTCCCAGAGTGGACTTGGGGGTTCTTCTGTAACCGGCCTTGTGCTTGGCCGAGCAGAGCAGCCCCTTTACCCCCTTCTGTTGGACCAGGTCATGGACATTCCTGACACGCTCCTGGAGGATCATGACCTCACGGTGGACTACATCCTCACTCCAACCAGGGTCATCGCCACCGGCTGTGAGCGCCCAAAGCCGACAGGGATCATCTGGTCCAAGGTGAGTGTGGCCTGGAGCCAAGCTCCTCTTCCATAGGGTCTCTGAGGGCAGCTGCTCAGTCCTGGAGTGGCTGCAGCTTGGAATCACTGGGGAGACTTTGAGCAGCTCTGCTCCTGAATCACAGCCTCCAGGCAGTCCTGGGATTCGCATCAGGGACCTCTGGGGTTCTGATGAGCAGCTGGGCTCCAGATCTACCTCCACAGGTGGCAAGAGTGACTCCATGGTGAGGGGGCTAATGCCTCAAAACTGACAGTTTGTCAGTTAGTTTGTTTGTTTTGAGACAGAGTCTCACTGTGTCACCCTTGGTAGAGTGTCGTGGCATCACAGCTCACAACAACCTCAAACTCTTGGGCGCAAATGATTCTCTTGCCTCAGCCTCCCAAGTAGCTGGGACTACAGGCGCCCATTACAATACCCAGCTATGTTTTATTGTAGTTGTCATTGTTGTTTAGTTAGCCCAGGCTGGATTCAAACCCGCAGCCTTGGTGTATGTGGCTGGCGCCGTAACCACTGTGCTGTGTGTGCCGAGCCCAGTGTGTCAGTTGTAAGAGTTGTTTTCTCTCCACCCTGTGTGTGTGCAGGGCCTTGGGGCCTCATTGCCCACCGAGACCCTCCAGGAAGAGGGCGTCGTCCATGAGGCCTCTGCAAGAGTCTGAAACGTTGAAGGCCCATTTCCCATTTGGGGCCTGTTGTTTTGGGTTCTGCCTCCCACTTCTCGTCCCTTCCTGTGGATCATGTGATGCCAGTGAGTCCCCAGGCCCTGGCGTTTCTGTTCTGGCCTTCCTATCTGTGCAGCCAAAGTGAATTTTTTATGCATATTTCCTGGGAAAGAAAAAATATCTCTAAATTCCAATAAAGATTTAGGGTGAGGAAAGAGGATAGTTCAGTGCTGGGTTATGATATTGTTTCAAATTGATTTTTTGGCAAATACTGATGTGTTTCCATGATATTTTAGTGATAGACTGATTACCATATAGGTATCAGAATCCTAGACTTGCCTCTCACCCAGCAGACTGGAACGTCTGGAAGATCATCTCTGTTAACACCTGGTCTCCCAGGTGGAGACCGTGGGATCAGCACAGGGTGTCACGGGCTCTGTTCATCGTTACCACAGTGGTTGTTTGGCATCTGATTCTCTGGCTTTCATCCCACCTTTTTCAAAAGTGAAAGTCCTGCCCAAGCTCCTAGCCTGGCAGTAGAAACTGGCTGGCTGGTCACAGCTACCTCACACAGCGTGTCCCCTGGGTCTCCTTCAGAGTCATTTGGTCCAGGTGGCCTTTCCTCAGTGTGAGCCTCATGGCTTTGAGACTGCCCAGGGGCTGTGCCTGTGCTGCTGGGCTTGGCAGGTGTGGTTTCACTACCTGGTGGCTCTGCTGTGACCCCAGCATGCTTGCCAGGCCCCAGTTTGTCTGTAATGTGGACAGGCCAGGCCTGGCCTGTGGGGATGATGTAGGCAGAGTGTATAAAATGCTTAGCACACACCTTCCTTATCACAAAGCTGAGCCAGGGTGTCAGCAAGTGGAAGATCTGCCTGGACGCCGGACACTGCTCTTCTTTCCCCATGCTGCTGCCAGAATCATCACGACAGTCCTTCCGGGTTCTCACTGAGCCAAGGTGTGGTCCTGCACACATCGCCTGTGGCCAAGGGTGCCATGTGGTGCCCTGGCGGGTCCTTGACTGCCTCTCAGTGGAAGAGGACAGAGACACACAGACCTGGCCCTCAGGCCCTTAGGTCCTGCCCACCATGCTGCCCGAGACTGCACAGGTGCCACCCAGAAGCCTCCAGGCAGCTGACACACGTCTGCAGTCTCCCCTCAGCAGGGCAGGCTGGGAAGGCTGGGGCTGGGCTGCCTGCACCCTTGTTGAAAATGTCCCGGCAGGAAGAGTGAGAGGCCCCACCTTCCCTTCCCCCTTCTGAAAGGTACATCACCTCCTTTGTCCCTGTGGGCCTGTCCATCTCGAGATACTTGCCTCACCCAGTGACCCACAGAACTCCAAGCCACAGGGTGCACAGTGCTGCCCCTCCTCCTCCTCCAGTCACCTCATCCAAAAAACAACTCCCTGAACCCCCAGTGCATGCCAGGGACCTAGGCACTGAAGCTGGACATGACCCTGAACCCCTGGGCAGTTTCTCCAGCTCAGGTGATCTGAACCCCCAGGGACAGGCATCCTCTCTGCCAGTGGCCGCTTGTGGGTCAACAGCCACTTGCCTGGAAGCCTCAGCTCTGAGCAGACTGAAGGTGGCTGACGTCACTGACCTGCTAGTGTCAGGAGCCACAACCACAGTCCAATGTCCTCCCCGGGCATGAGCACCAAGGCCGAGCTTACTCCTGAGCAGGGTGCTGTCCCATAAATCACTGACAAGAGAGAAACAAAACTCCCTGTCAAGACCTGTGGCTGCCTGCTAGACCCACGTGAGCACCTAGAAAACAGCAGCAGGGTGGACTCTGCAGGGGAGGCCAGGTCTGTCACCAAGGGCGCAGGTGAGCTGGTGAGCTGGGCCTGACTGGCAGATACCTGCCTCACTGTTTTACTTTTTTCTGGAGAGCTGGAATGAGACAGATGGAGGGGAAAGGTGTGTTTTAAGAATACTTTGGAGAGGCCAGCTTGTACGCTGGTGTCTAGACATGTGGCCCTGGGCTCCCACGAGCCTGTGCTCCTTACCATGGAGCCACAGCCGAGGGACCACGCAGAGGGCCACCCACGCATCTTCTCACCCCCATGCTGTGTTCCCCGTGAGGGTAGGGTGATCGCATCTTTGCTGACTACCAAGGAGGCCATGTGGACTCCAGGGGCCAGAGTGCACGCCTGTCTCTGGGTAGCTTGTTACTCCTTAATGAAGGAAACTGGACCGATGACACAACGCCAGTGCTAGTGGCCGTCAGGGCCTCCTCTGGCAGGAGGCTTTGCCTAGGAGTCCCCGCTTCGCTTTTCTACTGTAGCGGCTGTGGCTGTGGGCAGATGACCAGAGGGCTCTGCTGAGTCCACGTTTCTCTTAAGTTGGACCAGTGGGCTGAGAGCCATGGGTTGGTGACATCTACTGTTTAAGACTGTGGGGGGTCCCACGTCCCCAAGGGCCAAGTTAAATGATTAAGTGACATCCAGTCTATCGGTGCAGCATGGCAGACAGTCACGAGGTCTGGAGAGAGTGTGGGTGGCAGGTGCCCTGCCGTGGCGCTGTGCCTCTGGACCTCCCAAGGGTAGCTGGAACTGCTTTCCTTTCCAGATCAGCTGTGAGATGATGGAGAAAATTCCTATACTGAGGAGGCTGCGTGAACGAGAGAAGCGGGCTGGGAAGGATGTCACCCTTCAGGATGAGCCCCGGCACCTTCTAGAACCCGGCAGCCACCAGAGAGCTCTTCCAAGAAGACCACCAGATGGGCCTGGGCCAGAAGCAAGTGCCATGGGAACAGCCCGTGGCTCCCTGCAGGGGGAGGGTGCCCTGCTTACAGCTGATGTCTATGTCGGGAACCTGCCCCGGGATGCCCGAGTGAGTGATCTAAAGAAGGAGCTCCGAGAACTCGGGGTGGCCCCCCTACGGCTCACCTGGCAGGGGCCACAGCGCAGGGCCTTCCTGCACTACCAGGACCCGGCCACAGCCCAGCAAGCCCTGTCCTGCCTGCAGGCCCTGCGCCTGGGCACCGACACTTTGAGGGTGGCGCTGGCCAGGCAGCAAAGGGACAAGTGATGTGCAGGACAGCCATGGGCACAGAGCTGTGCTGCACAGACACCCTCACCACTACCACCGGGTGACATGTGGCAGCCTGTCACTCTGGTCCCCATGAGTGAGAGGCTGAGCTGCTCCTTCCCAGGAAGTCACGGCACAGTTAAGGCCACCCTGTCCCGGGAGGAGGAGGCTGGCCGTGGTCTTTAACACCTCCGCTTGGTCAGGTTCTGGCTCCTTTGGGTCCTTGAGCCTGTCTGTGTCTCTCTGGAGGGGAGAGCAGTGTGAGGACCTAGGGGCTGAGCGCAGAGAGCAAGTGACAGTAGACGGTAATGGGGGTTCGGGTCTGAGGGGGATTTAAAAGGAGAAGGCAGAGGAAGAATGACGCCCTGGCAGTTACCACAGGCAGGGCACAGAAAAGCGCCTTGTGCTCAGGGCCTGCTGGCAAACCAGAGGGGAAGCTGCCTTCCAGACTGCACAAGCCCAGCCCCGTCGGCCCTGCACACAGAGCGCTCGGCACAGCCTGGCCTTTGCATTAAGAACTGCGGAGACGGGGGGCTTGTGGTGGGCACGACCCTCCCTGCTGCCTGGCATCCCCGGCACCCTGGCCTCCGTGGACAGCATCATCCTTTGGGCGGAGGCTGCTTGTCCTGGGCGTGGGACCACCTTGGGACCAGCTTTGCCCCAGTTGCCTTGTGTGCAGATGTGCACACGCTCACATGCCCGTCGCTGTCTGTTTTCTGGGTCTTCCCCTCAAAATTCTCTGTTTCTAAAGCCAGCTGGATTTGGGCTGAACTACCCTTCCCAACAGAAGTGCTTTCGCAGTTGATCCTGGGCAGAAAGTCAAAATAAGCATTAAGTGGAGATTTTGCTTTTCTCTAATGTATATGTGTTGGAAAGTCTTACATTTTAGCCAGAGGGTTTTACCGAGTGTATTTTAAGCACGTCATTATGCCTCCAGAGGGCAGGCCTGGGATGACTTTACAGAAAATGTTCTCAGGACACTCAGCCTTCTCTCTGAAAGGGCGTTTTCTCACTGCTGTATAATGAAAATACTGTGGAGACTTCAGAAAGAAAATCTGGTCTCAGACAGATGTGCTTACTTAATAGACTTCTGTTCCAAGTTGCCGTGAACAAAACGAGGGGACAGAAACCTGGCCCCTGCCCCTGGGCCCTCCCCTCGGCCTGACCCACCGCCTCTACAAGAGGGCTGGTGTCATTTGTCCCTTGGGGCTCAGCTCCATGTCGGAGGCCACGTCCGGCTCCAGCAGGGCCGATTGCCCTTGTTTTCTCTATTTTTCCATCTTGCATTTGTATTATTCTTCCATTTGTTTTGTGTTTACTTTTTGATTGTTAACTTGCCACCATCAGGCCAACAGCCGCAGGAGAGCAGCTGGGCAGCCCCTGGCAGACAGGGGGCAGCGCCCTGACAACGGGGCTTTCTGTGTAAGGATCCCCTTTGGAGCCAAGACGGAGAAGCTGGATCCCGGTCCCGCCATGCCTGACGTGAGCTCTGCCCTCAGACTGGAGTTACACCAGTAGGTAAATGACTTAGGTTTTCTGTCTCCTGTAGCCAGAATAATCCAGATATACTGACATACAGATAATCTGAAATAGTTGATCATTTTTATATTTGTAGAAAATAAAAACTAAAATTCAAGTGTCTGAACAATAAACACCTCAAATATATCCGCCTGCCTGCCTTCTACTGCCCCATCCTGACTCAGGGAGGCTTGTGAGGGAGGGTTCTCAAGGCTGCCATGGAGAGTGCAAGTGAGCAGGCCAGTGCACTGTGATCCAGTGCTTTGCTTCCACCGTTCAGGTCTCTGTTAGCACTGGGATCACGTCACCCCACAAGGCCAGGCCAGCACTGACAGTGTGAGAATGTGCCTGTGTCAACGAGCCCGGAAGACGCCTGAATGGCCGGGTGATGTCGCCAGCAGATGGGGAGGAGCTGTGTGCGGGGTGCAGCTGTGCGCTGCCCAGAAAGCTCCCCTGGAACTCAGTGCTAATGAGCACTGGACTCCAGTGCCCAGAGCCCCAGGCGCCACTGTGCTCTGCTCCCAGGTGTGTGCTGTGGGCAAGGCACGTGCCTGTCTGGGTTTTGGCTTCCTCCTCTTTAGAACAGAAGGGTCCGATCCGTTGGCTTCCTGAAGTCTTTACCAGTTTGAATAGTCTGTTTCTTGTGAGGCAGACTGGTCACCATCACTTAGATTTTTTTGTTTTTTTATAAAAGTAAACCTTTGTTCTAGAGAATGAGAAGTATAAAGAAGGGCACCACTCAGGCAGCCTTGACATTGCCCCGTACTGATTTCCCACCTTTCTCCTGTGGTTTTAAAACAGCTGGGCTGACAGTGTGCGTGCCAGGACCCCACAGCTCGGCCCGGGCACCCCCTCTGCCAGGTGCGCTGCCGCGAGTGGGGTGGGTACCTGCTCCTCTCCTGGAATTGCCATTAGCTCGTCTGTAAATGGGCATCATAATGTTCTCCTTCCGGAGGTCTGTGAAGGTGGGGCTGGCGTGCCTGGTCTGCGGGGAGCCAGTGTTCACGGGCGCTCCCTGCTGAGACCAGTGGTCCTGGCCAGCACAGACGCCACTGCTGCCCTCTCAGATGGAGGGACAGCCCTCTGGGGGGACAACCCCAGAGTTCCCTTCTCACATCCTTGTGAGCAGAATGAATCCTGGGGCATAGCGACAGCCCAGGAGCAAATCCCCAGGTGACAGTGTTGTCACGGTTGCCGAGACCTGGTGAAAATGGGCAGGGGTGCCAGTGGCACTGAGTGAGCTTGGGAACAGGTGTGTGAAGGGTGCTCAGGCCCAGCACCAGGAAACCAGGGAGGAGTAGCTGCTGCTCAGAAAGGAGGCCGGGTGCCACCTGGCCTCAGCCCTCTGGCACAGGGACCTGAGTACCCCACCTGGGAGGGGCCCGGCTATGTCCCTCCCCCACCCGCAGAGGACCAGGCCACCACACTAGGCCTTCAGTTTGAGATCTGCCTGAGAGTTCATGGCCACATGCAAGTGAGAAAACAGGGCCTGGTCAGCCCCCTGTGTCCAGTCTGGGGAAACACGAAACCTGAATACAACCGAAAAAGTAGAAAGAGGCTAACACAGGGGCCTCTGCAAGACTGTCCGAGAGAGAGAGAGAGAGAGAGAGAGAGAGAGAGAGAGAGAGAGAGAGAGTCTGCCCAACACGGGAGATGAGCGGGAAAAACACCTATGAAAGGAGTCCTTGCAGGACACAGGACCAAATTCTAGGCGACACCTGCTCTGTACTCACAGATCTGAGAAAGAAAAGTTATGTCTACGAAACTTTGTTGAAGAACAAAAGGTTTTGTTTTTTTTCAATGAAAATGTGTCTATTTTTGCCAGTATCTGCTCAAATCCTAAAATACTCCAGAAAACATGAGATCTTAAAATTAAAACCCTGTGGGGCAGGTTAGTACCCTAAAAAGAGAACTTGCTGACAGCAGAAAGAATGCTGAGCAGGACGGGTAAGGATTTGTTAAACAATAAAAGCACGTAATTTACATCACTGAAATGTAATTTATAACGCTGAAATGTGTATGGCAAGATGTGGTGTGGAGGAGAGGCAAGCAGATCTCTCTTGCAGTAAGGTAAGGGAGCTGGAGAGCAGGTGGGCTGCCGCCAACCCTGGTGCAGAGGGCAAGGCCACGGCCAATGCCAGGGACACAGACAGGACCTGCCCACCCCGCACCGGCTGTCACCTGGGAGGGGAGCTTCACCAGCTCCAGTCAGTCTGGGCCTCACCTGCACTTGGGGAAACTGCATCTTGGGGCCCTGTCTGCCTCTGTGGAAATGTTAGTACAGGGATCAGAAAGGGAATAGAGGGCCCTGCGTCCATGAAAAAGGGAATGGGCTGATCAGAATTGTTAGAAATTGAAAACATACGATAAAGGACTCCTACTCATGGGCTGAAGGCACGGCAGGCACAGACACAACTAGTGGGAAGAAGAAGCCTGGAGTTCCTTCTGAGACCAGCGCAGAAGAGGACAGAGAAGAAAGGATGGCACAAGGAGGGAAATAATTGCAACTTTGCCTCCGCTAAAGAAGGGTTGGACTGAACAGCGAAGACTCTCGTGCCAGACGGGTGCTCCCCTTAGCACGCCCTTCCCAATGCAGCTGCCACAAAACCTGGCGAATCTCTGGGAGCCCCTGACGAGCAGTTCAGGGCTCATGTGGACAGCAGGGTAAAACTTCCCTGAAAGAGGGGACAGGTCTGAGGAGAGAACCGTGCTGTGCTCCCAGGGAAGGAGCTGATGTGGGGATATCCGTCCCCTGTGCTAAGGTGGCCCCAACCTGACAGGCCAGACCCCCAGAGTGTTTCTTGTGGATAGGGCTGATGGTAAATGCCCAGGAACCCCCAAGAATCTTCACGACAAGGAAGCGGATGTGCCCTCTGGGTTCAAAGCCTCACCTGAAGCTTGGGACAGTGACATGTCTGCAAGTCAGCGAGTCAGGAGAGGGGAGAGAAACCCCACAGTGGGGACAGTGTAGGGCCCGAGAGGAATCAGCTAGGGGAAGAGTTGCTGCTTCAGAGACTGAGAGCTGCTGGCTGCTGTTCTGAAGGGTGAAAAGAGCAATTTCTGGATCACACTATGCATAAAAATAGATTCCAGCTAATTAAATATCTAAACATAAAAGGCTTTATGTTTAAAGAGAGATAACAGAGTATTTTCTAATGCTAGGGTAGAGCAGGGCCTCCTGGGTTTAGGGAGGAATTATCCCTCGGTTCCCCTTCGAGTGTCAGATTTTGAGCAGTATGGGGTCCAAGTGAGCCCACCCAGACGCGCTCTCTGAAGAATGCTCTCCAAACAGCAGAATGAACCAGACCATTTCATGTCGCTTTTTGGTATCATCCTTTTTAACACTGCCAGATGCAACAAAGACCCTTTTCCCATCAGCCGTGCAGGATACGGCTGGCGGGTCCAGCTGTTCCCGAGTGTGAGCTGATAAAGCGTGGAAGGGCCTTGGCCTCTCTGTGGGACTTGGGAGCAGGCACCCAACCCACATGCTGTTTCTACTAAGGAGGGAAGTGGAGGGAACATGTACTAGTTTTAACGTCCAGAAGAGTGCACGTCGGGGTGCAGCCCAGCCCCTGCTGCCAAGCCCCCTCTGCTCAGGATCCACAGGACAGATGGGCTGGCTGGGCTCGGGCTGCTTTTCACGCACAGCTGGCCCCTGTTGTGCGCTGGCAGATGGCCTTGGGGTCCCAGGAGTCCGTGCTGACGCTCCGCAGCAGCTCTCCTTACATAGCTTCTGTTCAAGCAGGGTGAACAGGTTGTATCTCTTTTCTTCGTAGGTAAACAAGAAAAGGTGTGATCAGCCTTGAAATAAGGACGTCCAGAACCACTGGTTCTTCCTCATAGCATCTGACAGGTGGATCCAGTCCTGAGATTCGCAGAGAAGACTGTCTGCGTGGGATCCCTCCACCGCACACGGCTGCGGTGCAGGTGCAGTGGGGACCTAAACGGGCAACACGCAGGGTTAGGAAACAGCAGGGGAAAGAACAGCCTCTCCACTGCAGGGAGCCGCTGCAGCTCCACATGTTCCTTAACACTCGGCGGATGTGTATTAAGTCATATAGGGAGCAATAGCCAAGGTGGGCATGCTTCACAGAGTGCCTCCTGCCCCTACAGGCAGCTTCTGGGCCATGAGAGGCTCACAGTGGTGTCCTGCTCCTCCCACAGCCATCGAGTGTATCCTGGAGTCTGGCTACCTGGTGAGGCAGGCACACAGGTCACAGGCTCCCGAGGGCCAGGGCCAGACACACAGTCTCAACACTATACGTAGGAGAGAAGCTCTCCCTGATTTTGCAAATGGAAAGTCTTAGGCCTCAGAGGAGGAAGTGACTTTTCCCACCTGGTTCCACTGCCATCTGGCAGAGCTGAGCCCAGCTAAGGTTGTTGTGGCTCCAAGGCTCTCCCGCCTTCTGCTGCACACCAGGCCCGCTGGGCGGCACATCCCAGCAAGTGTCAGCTCAGCCTTTGGACACAGACTCATAAAATACACAAATGGGGACTGTTACAAAAAGAAAAAGCTGCCCTCAGGAGGCTTAAGGGACTTGTCCAGGGTCCCAAAGGCCAGCAGTGGTAAGGCCAAGGCTGGAG